ATCATTAGCTGTGGCATCCCAGCCAGGTCAGAATGGACTCATTCGTCTGTCATGTGAACTCTCTCCGAAGCTCACGTAGCTCACCCAGGGATAGGGACCGAGTGATTATTTCTGACTCTGTCTCCTCCAGTGGATGTGAAGGTCCTGCCTCTTTGTCATCATTTGCTATATGGACTGATTTAGTCTTTGATTTCCTTTTCTGGACAGAGGCGACTGCTATTGGTTTCGGTTGTTCTCCTGGCTTCCTCGATGGTTTGTGTGGACATGGTGCCGGTTGATTTATTTCTTTTTCCCTCTGACTCAGCTGTGGTTTAGGTGGATGTGGTGCCTGTGGATTTGCTCCTTCTCTCCTCCCCCTGACAGTGCTGTACCATGTCAAGTAGTGTCCAGTAGGCAGTGGTCAGGGCCCAGCAGGTTGCTGTGAGCTGGCCATCTCTGGAGTTGCCAGAGCATTTTTCCTTCACCAGTCTTATCACGCTAACAGGATCCTGCAGTTGTTCAGGAGTGAATTTCCAGATCATTGGAGAAAACTTCTCCAAATACTGCCCGATGTCCTCCCACTTCCCGTGCCACTCAACATTATCCACTCCCAGAGCAGTCATCCAGACAACCTCCCTAGAAGCCCCTGTTCTGACCCTAAACATGGTATAGACAGTACAGAGCAGACAAAGCAACACTAACAATAACATTATGCTGTCTTTAACATCAAGAAGGAACTCAATATTTTCAGACTGTTGTAGCAGGTCTGAAGGGGAAGAAGGAGGTGAGAGGCTGGAAGCAACCATTCCCCCCTGTTCCCCCAAAGGGCTGGGTGCGATTTTTAATGAGGCCCCAGAGGTGGCAACCCAAACCAGGACAAGCAAACAGGACTGAATATACATTCACAATGAAACTCACTGCTTCTGATGTTACGATAACATAAACACAGTATATTAATAAAGCAATTTGGATCCCTCTCCCTGGTCTTAAAGAGATCATCAAAATAGGCAAATAGTTCCCCATCTGTGGAATATATGAACAGGTTCAGATACAACATCCACGTGAATACATCAAACAACATGGTGATCAGGGAGTTTCTGTATCCAAATAGACAAATGCTTAAAATGAAATTGTGATTCTGACTTCTCTCTCTGCCCCATGCTGGGCACCAAAAATGTGCTGGTTTAAATGTAAACCGGCGGGGGAAATGAACACAACTCAAAGGAGAGATTATAAGTCAGAATAACAATTTAATAAAATAATACAATAAGTACGATTATACAGACAAATGATTGGTTTTAACCCACAAAACCCACATGTATAACCCAGTACCCTGGGGCATGAACAGAGTGGTGTTCGTTGGGTTTCCTGAGTCCAAAGTAAAAGGAGAGGGAAAAAACCTGTTGGTGAGAGTGCTGTTGCAGTCTGGTCAAGAGTGGTGATTGCAGTCCGGTCGAGAGTGGTGGTTGCAGTCTGGTTGAGAATGGTGGTCTCAGTCTGGTTGAGAGTGATTGTCTCAGTCCTCTGGATCCCACGAGTGGTTAAAAAAGTCCCAAGATCCCAAGATTATTTATCTTCCGGTTCAGGCAGGAATGCCAGTACCTCCCTCAGGGTGGGGAGTTCCACAATGGGTGTTAGGACAGGAGCATCCTCCTGTCTCGCAGGCCTCTTAACACTCAGTTTATAGCCTGAGGAGTCAGGTGTGGTCTGGGCAGACAGTGTAAATGGTCTATTGATAACAGTTTCTGGGAAATGGCATGGAGGGCTATAGAATACACAGTTTGGGGTTACACCCACACAGTAATGAACTGGTCCCAGCTGTTCTAACTAGGACAATGATAGATAATTTTGAAACTCACTGTATTAAAAGTTGTGTGTTTCTTTTCTCAGTGGACATGCACGGGGGGGGGCGAAATCCCCTTGCATCTCCCCGGCCATAATAAAAGTGCACTTTATATATATTGTTTAAGGATTTCTCTGAATCAACACCACAGATTATCTTTCCACCAAGGTTAAATATCCTTTAGGCACACTACAGGTCTCCCTATCCTTCTGCATTACCCACCAGAAACACCCTGGTCCCTGAGCAAAGACAATCCCATGGATGGGTTTGCCTTTTCCCATGGGAGAAGAAACCCACACTGACTTCCCCAGCCACTTCCCTATGTGTAGTATGGGGACCTTCTCTCCTCCCACAGTGTGTAGGGGTTTTCTTTGGGCAGATCCCATAGTGTTGACCAGTCAAGTGGTTTCAGCTAAATTTGCCTCCCAGTGCTTCCATGTCCCACTGCCTAACGCTTTTAGTATAGTCTTTAGCAGTCCATTATACCTTTCAATCTTTTCAGAGGCTTGTGGGTGATAAGGGATGTGATATATCCACTTAATACCATGTTTCTTGGTCCAAGAGTTTATAAGGTTATTCCGAAAGCGAGTCCCATTATCTGATTCAGTTCTCTCTGGGGTCTCATGTCGCCACAGAATGTTCCTCTTGAGGTCTAAGATGGTGTTTCTGGGAGTGGTCTGGTTTACAGGGTGTTTCCAGTCAGCCAGTCATTGCCTCCACCATGGTGAGTATGTAGCTCTTGCCTTGGCATATTCATGGCAGTGGTCCAATGCAGTTAATTTGCCAGGCCTCACCATATCGGAAACCCAGCAACTGCCCTCTATTCCAAGAAGGTTTTACTCCCATTGTGGGAAAAAACCCTCTTTTAAATTTAGAAAGACGGCATAAACTCAGGGAACAAAGAAACAAGGAAGAATTTATTCAGCGTGCCAGGTCTTTCTCTCACTGAATTTCCAAGAAGAAAGACCCTTTGGGTTTACATCTTATACATTTTATAGTTTCACAAAATCCCACCCTTTTTCAGATAAGTTTAATATATTAATTTTTGCCTAAAAAGGTTTCTTTTCTCTGAAAAGGGGTTTTCCCTTCCTTCCAGTTGGCTGCAAGGTGTCCCCAGTCAAAGATGATGGATCTTCCTTTGTTCTTAGCCCAAAGAGAGAAAAGAATCCCTGTGTACAAAATGGCCCCAAAAGATTTTAATTTTTAAGAACTTTTGTATTTCCCTTATCCGACCGAAAAAGACGCTGATACTCAAGTCTAGTTTTTGGAACTTGGATATCTTACAACTTCGCGATACGCATATATAAAAAAACCTTATTTTTGTTTCTCATACCATGGTTCTCTTGATTGCTGCACATGTTTCAAATTTGTGAGTGACCGGTGTGATGGTCTCCATGGTCAGGTCCACCCCTCGATCACGAGCCCATCTGTATCTCGTGTCTCTTCCTAGATGTCCTTATGTTTCATGGGCCCATCAGGCTATAAATAGCTCACCCTTCTGCTCCCAGTCCAAGTCTACCTGAGCTATTCCAATCTTGGCAGCCTTATTTACCTGTTCATTGTTCTAATGTTCTTCAGTGGCGTGACTTTTGGGCATGTGAGCATCTACATGACACACCTTCAGAGTCATGTTTTCCACCTGTGCAGTGATGTCCTGCCACAATGCAGCAGCCCAGACAGGTTTACCCCTGCGTTGCCAATTGGTCTTCTTCCACTGCTGCAGCCATCCCCACAGGGCATTAGCCACCATCCAGGAGTCAGTATAGATATACAGTACAGGTCATTTTTCTCATTCAGCAATCTTTAGGGCTAGTTGAATGGCTTTCACTTCTGCAAACTGGCTTGACTCGCCCTCTCCTTCAGCAACCTCAACGACTTGTCGTGTGGGACTCCACACAGCAGCTTTCTAACTCTGATGATTTCCTACCACACGGCAGGATCCATCAGTAAATAGAGCATGGTTTCTTTCATTTTCTGGTAACTCATTATACAGTGGTGCTTCTTGGGCACAAGTCACCTCTTCAGGCAATGCTCCAAAATCTCTGCCTTCTGACCAGTCCATAGTCTCTTCCAGAATTCCTGGGAAATTGGGTTTTCCCATTTGGGCTCGTTGTGTAATCAATGCTACCCACTTACTCCACGTAGCACTGGAGTGCAACATGATGCGTTGAGGGGATGTTCCCTTTGAATATCCAGTGCAGCATGGGCAATCCCGGTGCCAGGAGGAGACATGCTTTTGTACCAACAACTTCTGAGGTGGCTCAAACTCCCTCATACACTGCTAATATGTCCTTTTCAGTTGGAGTGTAGTGGGCTATTGCTCCTTGATAACCCCGGCTCCAAAATCCTAATGGTCAACCTCAGGTTTCTCCTGATGTTCTTTGCCAGAGGCTCCAGGTGAGACCATGCTTCCCAGCTGCAGTGAAGAGGATATTTTGCACAGCTGGTCCTGATTGAACAGGCCCAAGAGCTACCACATGAGCTATCTCCTGTTTGATCTGCTCAAGGCTCCACTCAAAATGGTTCTTCTTCCAGGTCACTCAATAAAGGGGGCTCACAAGCCGACTATAACCAGGAACATGCATTCTCCAGAACCCCACAAGGCCTAGGAAAGCTTGTGTTTCCTTCTTGTTTCTTTCCATCCTTGCAGGTCTAACTGGAAGGTTGTTCCCAGAAGTCTGTGGCATTGACTGTTAGAAATATTGTAGTTTTCAGCTTACATTTGTTTTGGAATGTCTTGTAGCATTTTTTCCTTTGGGCTAATGTTATCCCTCAGAAATATCTGTTTTATTCTCCCTCAGAGCATTTATAGACAGCAGTTACATCCCTCTCAGCCTTGTTCTACTATTCTTGCCTAGTTGTTTTAGACCTCTATTCTCTGAACCTTTTCCCATCAGAGTTCACCTTCCTTTAATACAGCAGATGCAAACTGTATGCAGGATTCCAGATGAGATTTTATAAATGCTTCGCACTATAAACTGATTTCATTTTCCCAACAAGCACTGTAGTACATCCAAATACACAGGAAACAAGGTATTTTCCTTATAGAAATAAGGAATATGTGTTAGAGGATTCAGGGGTTTTGATAGGTGACCTAGCAATGCAACATTATGGATCATCATGCAGACAGAATGGAGAAGCAGCAGTATAGGGAGTGTACTACAACTGATAGCACCACTTCTGTCAATTGTCTGGTGCCTCACAATCAATCCACCATAGCTGTGGTGTTCTCATTACTCAGGCAGTCATTGCTATGTGAGGAAAGAACACGTGCTGTAGGAACAGATCATGTAGCGGTGAGAATGAGTTTGGGATATGTGAGAACCTGGGCATGACTTTCCTTTGGCTGTCAAGGTGCTACTGCCTGATCCCTACTTCCTTTGCTTTTCTAGGACAACACTGTAACTGAAACTTGATTGTCTTGAGGCAATTTTCCCCATGTTTTCATACTCCTGACTGTGGGTTGCAGTCCTTTCTCTGCTTCTTTTGGATACTTATATTGCCTTTGTGGTGGTGGACCTGTACCTTTTATGAGGTCCTGAGAATTAATTTTTCCATGTTCCAAATTATCTTCTGCCCAGACTTTTGTGGAGTTTTGAATTCATTCATTTCCAGCAAAACCTTGCCATGCAAACCCCATACAATCTCAACCCATAAGTTTTCACACTTTTACCTTTCTGATTCTCTCCCCCATCCCATTGTGGGGGGAGTGAGTGAGTAAGTGACTGTGTGGTGCTGTCCTTGTTAGAACAGCTGGGACCTATTCATCACTGGATGGGTGTAGCCCAAAACTGTGTATTCTATAGTCTTCCATGCCCTTTTCCCAGAAACTGTTATCAGTAGAGGCCTGCGAAATAGGAAGATGTTCCTGTCCTCATACCCTTTTATGGAATTCCCTGCTCTGAGAAAAGGACTGAGCATCCTCATACCCTTTTATGGATTTCCCCGCTCTGAGGGAAGGGCTGAGCATCCTCATACCCTTTTATGGAATTCCCTGCTCTGAGGGAAGGACTGAGTATTCCTGCCTGAACTGGAGAATATATAAACTTGGAGTTTTGGGACCTTACTACCACTCGTGGGATCCAGAGGAGGACTGCAGGCCACCGCTCTCAACCAGACTGCAGACCACCGCTCTCGACCAGACTGCAACTCACCGCTCTCAACCAGACTGCTGATCACCGCTCTTGGCCCGACTGCAGATCACCGCTCTCGGCCAGACTGCAGATCACCGCTCTCAACCAGACTGCAGACCACCACTCTCGACTGGACTGCAACTACCACTTTCCAACCAGACTGCAACCACCACTCTTGACCAGATTGCAACAGCGCTCTCACCAACAGGTTTTTCCCTCTCCTTTTACTTTGGACTCAGGTGGGCCCAAAGAACACCACTCTGATCATGCCCCAGGGTGCTGGGTTATATATTTGGGTTTTGTGGGTTAAAACCAATCATTTGTCTGTATAATCGTACTTATTGTGTTATTTTATTAAATTGTTATTCTGACTTATAATCTCTCTTTTGAGTTGAGTTCATTTCCCCTGCTGGTTTACCTTTAAACCAGCACAGGTGCTTAGCTGCCTACCAGAGTTAAACCATGACATAAGCCCTTAGGTGGGACAAAAGTCTTCTTTTTGTGCCAAAAGTCACTAGTTTCCATTCTTTGCCTTCTCCAGAGCTTGCACTTACATTAATACTAGCAGGTGGATACTGCCTATATCTCTACTACAGTTGGGGTGTGGGGCTTTTCAAACTTTTTCTCCCGTCGAGAGCCAGTAATGGGTCACAACCATTGGTTTCACTTATGCATTTGTATAAATGTTACATTTTGAAGTTGCAGATGATAAAAATCTTTTCAATGCTTGTCATTGGTTGAAGCTGGTTGATATGGTTTGAAGCTGGCTCCCTGCCAAGTCTCCAAACCTTACCACCAGAAGTCCCCCCCCCCAAACCTCAGGGAGAAGAGGGAGAAAAACAACCAAGAAAACCCGAAATGAGAGAGAGACAGCTAAAGTGATATATAAAAATATATTTACACTTATGTTACAATTGAAATATATATACAATTTAAAATATATACAATTTCACAAGGGAAAGGGAAGGGGGAAGGGAAAGGGAAGGGGGAAGGGAAAGGGAAGGGGGAAGGGAAAGGGAACAAAACCAAAATAATATATATATATATATAAATATCTCCCAATCAGTAACCCGAGATCTAGTAACTAAAGAGTTAGCAAAGAAATATCCCACCACTCTCCTTGGGACAACCGAGAGTCGCTCCGGGACGATCGCCGGCAACCTCCGCCTCCCAAGGTCGACAAGGCCTTACCAGGCCTTGCTCCCCAACACGGCAGACTCAACAGCAGGGAACCTGCACCTCCAAGCCACCGGAAGGAAAGAGAGCGAAGGCCTCTCATCCTTTCTTCTTATAGTCTGGTTTACGTAAAAATTGTAGGGAATACTGGGTAGATCTGGACCCTTCCTTGGTTACAAACTGGTCACCAAGGAAGGCCTACCCCAAACCACCACATTCTCCACCCCTTATTCCATACTATTTTTACGTAACACCTATATCTCACGTTCGCCTACATCCCGCCCGTATATATACACATATACATATATATATAGTCCTTGTTGGTCTCTCGACGCAGTTGTCTCGTTGTTGGAAATCAATACTGACATTAGTTCAGTTCAGTCCAGTCCAGATCTCTGGTCTCCTCAGTCACAATTGCAGTTCTGATTTTAGGACTGCTTTGTCATTCTGGGCTGTCTCAACATTGGATACTGACATCAGCTTAGTTCAGGTCTCTCTCTCTCTCTCTCGTCTGGTGACTGGTTTCCTGTAAAACACAACTCAGGACATACAGTTAGTTTTTACCCAAGGTTAAATTTCCTTGAGGCACACATTGGATCACTCCGTCCTTCCTCATTATCCACCACGTATGTCCTGACCCTTGAGCAAAGACAATCCCACAAATTGCTTTGTCTTGGCCTGAGGCAGGGGTAACCCAAACAGTTTTCCCTAGCATTCCCCTCAAATGGATTGCTGGAACTTTATCTCCATCAACAATGTGCAGGGATTCTGCTTGTGCAGGGCCAACTCGATTGACAGAACCCCTGGTGTTAACTAGCCAGGTGACCTTGACTAAGTTCTTATCCCAATTTTTGTAAGTTCCCTCACCTAGTGCCTTGAGAGTTGTCTTCAACAGTCCATTACATCTCTCAACCTTCCCAGCAGCTGGTGCATGATAAGGAATGTGGTACACCCAACTGATACCATGTTCCCTCGCCCAAGTGGTAACTAAGTCATTTTTGAAATTAGTCCAGTTGTCCGACTCAATATGTTCTGGGGTCCCATGTCACCACAGGACTTGCTTTTCAAGGCCCAGAATGGTATTCCGGGTTGTTGCGTGGGGCACTGAAAAAGTCTCCAACCATCCAGTGGTTGCTTCCACCATGGTAAGCACATAGCGCTTACCTTGGCAGGTCTGTGGCAGTTTGATGTAATCAACCTACCATGCCTCTCCATACTTATACTTATCCCATCGTCCACCATACCACAGGGGCTTCAGTCTTTTCGCCTGCTTAATAGTGGCACAAGTCTCACAATCATGGATAACTTCAGAAATTATATCCATGGTTAAATCCACCCCTCGGTCTCGTGCCCATCTGTGGGTGTCATCTCGACCCTGATGACCTGAAGTATCATGGGCCCATCGAGCTAGGAACAACTCTCCCTTCTACTGCCAGTCTAGGTCTACTTGTGACACTTCAATCTGTGCAGTTCGGTCCGCTTCTCTGTTGTTATCGTGTTCTTCATTAGCTCGCTTCTTGGACATCTGTTGGTATCTGTCGTCGTCTATCTTGCCATTTCACCCCTAGGAATTTGATCTCTCTGGCAGGTCCCTTGACTTTATTCTTCTTGATGGTGAAACCGGCGTTAAGGAGAATCTGGATGATTTCCTCTCCTTTCTCGAAAACTTCTTCTGCTGTGTCCCCCCATACAATGATGTCATCAATGTACTGGATATGTTCTGGGGCCTTGCCCTTCTCCAGTGTGGCCTGAATCAGTCCATGGCAGATGGTTGGACTGTGCTTCCACCCCTGGGGCAGTCAGTTCCACATGTACTGCACACCTCTCCACGTGATAGCAAACTGAGGCCTGCACTCTGCTGCTAAGGGAATGGAGAAAAATGCATTGGCGATGTCGATGGTGGCGTGCCACTTTTCTGTCATGGACTCCAGCTCGTACTGGAGCTCCAACATGTCTGGTACAGCAGCACTCAATGGTGGCGTGACTTCATTCAAGCCATGATAGTCCACCGTCAGTCTCCATTCACCATCGGACTTACATACAGGCCAAATGGGGCTATTGAAGGGTGAGTGTGTTCTACTAACCACCCCTTGGCTTTCCAACTTGTGAATCATCTTATGGATGGGGATCACAGCCTCTCGATTCGTCCGATACTGTCGCCTATGCACTGTCTTAGTGGCTGTTGGCACTCGCTGGTCCTCAACTCGCAGTAATCCTACAACAGAAGGATCTTCTGAGAGGCTGGGCAGGGCAGATAATCGTTTGGATTCCTCTTCAGTCACCGCGGCTATACCAAAAACCCATCAGTACCCCTTCAGGTCCTTGAAGTATCCTCTTCTGAGGTAATCCATGCCAAGAATGCAAGGGACTTCGGACCCCGTCACAATGGAATGTTTTTCCCATTGGTCTCCTGTCAGGCTTATTTCAGCCTCTACCACCGACAGCTCTTGAGACCCTCCTGTCACCCCAGAAATTGAAACAGTCTCTGTGCTCACATGTCCTGAGGGCATTAACGTACACTGTGCACCGGTATCTATTAAAACTTGGTATCTCTGAGGATCCGATGTGCCAGGCCATCGAACCCACACAGTCCAGTAAACTCTGTTATCTTTCTCATCCCTCTCCTTCTCTTGGCAGAAGGTAGGGTCCCTCTATTGGTTCTGGTCGGAGTATTCACCATCGGATCTTTGTTTTGACCTGTCAGAGGCTTTCTTGTCATCCTGGAAATGGACTCCAGACCTCCTGCATCTAGGAGATCTCAGTTCTCTTTTGAAGAAATCTGTATCTACTACTTAGATGACTTTCTTATCATCTTCCTTGTGTTTTAGTTCTCTCACTCTGACCTCGAGTCTGGAAGTAGGTTCACCATCCCACTTCCTCATGTTTTCTCCTTGGGCGTGCAGATAGGACCACAGTTCACTGCGCTTAGATCTACGCTTAGGGTTTTCGCTCCTTCTGCGTGTGACGGAAGGAGATCGTGAGTGGGACCGGGACCAAGATCGAGATCGTGGTCGAGACCGGTCTGTTGATCTGTCTCTGTAGCGTCTGTCCCTGTGGTCTCCGTAGTCATCTTCATAATCAGAGTACCCGTAAGACTCGTCTCTCTCAGGTCTTCGTCTGTAACTAGAATCAGAATAGTCTCTAGAAAACTCATTCCTAGATTCTACTGCTTCTTCTAGATGTCATAGAACCGTACACAGGGTACCCACAAGCGTTTCTTGCGTGTTTGGAAACATTACTCCTGCCAAGGTATGAAGATATGATGCAGGAGCACCCTGGATTATCTTCTTCCACATGGGCATTGTGCAAGTGACACCCTCTGGGTCATCAGCGACGGGATCGTATTGAGCATCATCATACATGACTTCCAACAATGCCAATTTTCTTAGGTACTGGATGGCGTCTTCTACCTTGGTCCACTTCCTCATGGGGCACGGTAAATAGTCTTTAAATGGAAACCTTTGTCTCGCACTTAAGACAAGTCGTGACCAAAGACTGAGGTCGGGTTTCTCCTCTGCAATTATGTGATCAAGTTCACGGTCTTTGGAGATGGAAGTTAGTTGTTCTGCTTCAGGAGTTGACAATATGTGACCTCTAGCCCCACGATCGCGGCATCAGAGTAACCATGACAGAATTCACTCACCAGGCCGACGACTGTAATCTCTTTGTAAGTCCCGGAGTTCTGATGGGGTCATTGACCACAACTCTGTAGTTTCCATTTTTGGGGGTGGTACTACTCGTGGAGGTGGAGGTGGAGTTTTGGCACTGGCATCAGTATCAGTCCCCTCTCCGTTATCTTCTGACTTGTTTTGATTCTCATCTGGTCGTAGGCTTAAAGTTTCGGGCGCCAATACCCACGACTTCCTTTTCACTACAGGGGCGAGAGGTATCTCAGGTGGTGTAGTCTGGGTTCCACTTTCAGTGCATGTAGTAGAGGTGGCATTGGTCTCAGGTGGCAGGGTTTGAGTTTCCTCCTCAGCCTTAGCCTTCCGAGCATAGTCCACAGCAGCTCGATAGGCACTCGCAAGGCCCCAATACAAAGCAAAAAACTGCATATTTGGGTCCTCGTAAGAAAAACACCCTTCTGCCAGACGACGTGCCACCTCATCAGGATCAAACACCTGCTCTGGTGTGAAGTCCCAACTAATGGGAGGTGTCACACACCCTACCAATTTACCAAAGTTGACCCAGATTCCTTGCCATCCAGGGACTGGTTTTCTCAAAGCCCTTCCCAAAGTTCCAGCAAATCCCTTTGAGTTTCAGCCTTTCCTGCAACAAGGAAAGCAGTACCGCACCACCTTTCCAATGTTAAACAGCACTTCCATGGTTTTTAGGAATAGTAGAACCGTTGTCAAACAATTTAGGTAAGGATTGGGGCCAATTTTGATCCTAGGGACCTCAGTCACTAGGCCTTTGATATCATAATTAAGGAAAGGCAGATATTGGTAGACACCTTTTGAGTTAGTTCTCACTGGATACCCAGCAGCATATATAAAAATGGCCAAAATAACCAAGAAAATGAATAAAAATGCCATATTTATATATTTTTCTTCCTTTGTTCCCAAACAAAGCTATGTTTATATAACCAATCGGTTCTTGGCAACTCTCCCGGTAGCGTTCCCAAACAATGGGCAGTGTTTGCACCAACTTGGCTCCCTTCCCAGACTTGTTCCCAAACAACCGTGGCAAAACCAAAACAAACCGGAGATAACCGGAGATAAACCAGGCGGAAACACCAGATAAGGTGATATGGTTTGAAACTGACTCCCTGCCAAGTCTCCAAACCTTACCACCAGAAGTCCCCCGTCCCCCGTCCCCCCGAAACCTCAGGGAGAAGAGGGAGAAAAACAACCAAGAAAACCCAAAACGAGAGAGAGACAGTTAAAGTGATATATATATAAATATATTTACACTTATGTTACGATTGAAATATATATACAATTTAAAATATATACAATTTCACAAGGGAAAGGGAAGGGGGAAGGGAAAGGGAACAAAACCAAAATAAAATATATATATATATATCCCAATCAGTAACCTGAGATCTAGTAACTAAAGAGTTAGCAAAGAAATATCCCACCACTCTCCTTGGGACAACCGAGAGTCGCTCCGGGACAATCGCCGGCAACCTCCGCCTCCCAAGGTCGACAAGACCTTACCAGACCTTACTCCCCAACACGGCAGACTCAACAACAGGGAACCTGCACCTCCAAGCCGCCGGAAGGAAAGAGAGCGAAGGCCTCTCATCCTTTCTTCTTATAGTCTGGCTTACGTAAAAATCGTAGGGAATACTGGGTAGATC